CGGTTCAACTAAACTGGACCGACAGCTCACTCAGAGTTGGTCGGTCATTCGCTTGACTATGTGCAGCTCGGTTTGACCGTGGTCTGAGTTCGACGTGGCAACTCGGGTCGGCACGAATTCGACTGACACGGCTTAGCCGATGCACGAGTTTGAAATGGTGCCACGGTCACTGACGCAGGGCGTGCTTGGACCACGGCTAATGAAGCAGCGCGTAGACGGTATGTTGGATGGACTTGGTGCTCGGGCACGCACTCGGTGGTTGACTCGGACTCGGTGCACGGGCATGCACTCGGCGGTTCGGCTCCAACGGTCGGACGAGAGACGGTCACGGGCGTGAGACGACGATGCACATTACGAATTGACGATACGATGGTTAATAATTATTCAGGCGGTACTAGGGTTCATACATTTATAGTCGGATCCAAAAAAATACCCGGTTACCGGAACCAGATAAAACTAGGGTTTTGATTCTCGAAAATCCTAACTCATTTAAGGCCGATAATTAATATATATATATATATATATATATATTCTATGTGATTTATAATAAATCTGTAATCCACAACTGCAGCTAAAATCTCAATCAAACGAATATTTTATTTATACCACATTAACGTCTAAAGTCCCGATTTTTATAATTAAGTCAAAAAACATCCAAAATTTACGCAAATCGAAATATAACATCCTCAATATATGAATGGTCCACGGTCAACAAATCAAGTCCAAGTTCAACTCCTAACCCAATTAACTAGTAATCGCTACAACCGGTCAAATACACATAAAATCGGTTCACCTATCAAACGAACCCCGAAAATTCTCAAATTTTTACCTAGGCCTCAAGATAATTAATTATGATTTATCAAATTTAAATGATCATTTTATCACTTATGTATAAAGAGATCGAAAAATCGATCGGTCCAAGCTCGTAAAAATCCCGATAATTCAATTTTCGCTCAAATCATCAAATTCACATCTTTATTTCATCTCAAAAATCATATCTAAGCCATCAAAACCGAGTTCGAGTTATTATGCCTTAAATCAAGCGAAAACGACGGGTCAAGAAGAGATCAAGCTAAGAACAAGAGTAAAAAAGCGAATCGAGTCGGAATGGAGCTTCAAGCTTGCTGAAAATGGGCCGAAACTGCTGCTGGGCCGATCTGGTCGGGCCTTGTGCAAGGTGGTTCGGACCTGAGCTCGGTCGCGCGCGTGGAGGTGCTGGCTCGCGCGTTGTACGGACGTGAACCGGGTTGGGGTCGT